CCTCATTTCAGCAGTGGTCCTACCTTATCTCTTTTTCTTCTGTAACAGTTCCTGAAGTACCAAAAGTTCATCTTGGTGCCCTTGAATTCCTTTCAGAGTTTCTACTGACTTTTGACATGGACCATTGCTGTGCTTGGAGGATGATGTGCTTGAAGACAAGATGTATCCAGGCACACTCTGAAAATTCTTGGTCTTTTCATTGACTGGATCATCAAGGGAGTGAGTAAAAACCCCTGTGCGACATGCTTCCTGTTCATGCAATGCCTGCAGCTCTTGGGTGGAGAAGGAGCAGACCTTGCCTCTCTGATGACTGATGCCTCTGACTGATGGCTTTAGTGTATGGCAAACAGGCACCAAATCGCACTCTCTGTGATGCCGTCTGGGACATCTGTGATGCACCCACCCTGAATGGGAATTGCTTTCCAGCAGCTCCTGTGAGGTCCCTGCCAGCCTTGGCATCTCGTGTAGCTCTGTGGCCCTGGAGTTGGACATTGAGCACAGGACCAGCCCTGAATTCTGTCAGGCAGTGTGGGGACGAACATGGGACATATGCCATTATAGTCAGTGGAGGTATAGTAAATTCAGCTGATGGAAAAGAGAGAGACCCAGCTCTCGCTAAGGTACGTGACTGCAGTCATTCATATGAATACCTGTATCAAGTGCCATGGAGATAAGGAGAAGCTTCTTTTGGCTTATAGTTTGGCATAAGCTGTCATGCCACTTGGCCAAAGGAATTTCCCCCAGGCTCATACATGATTCCCAAGACGTTGCCCTGTCTCTATGAACTTCTGCGTTACAGTTTGCTGTTACCTACATGTATCTTGGACCACCTCTGGCAGTTCAAATGTCACCAGGGATTTGCATCTGAACACCTGACTCCTGCCTTTCCTCTCCATTAATTCAGATGGGAGCTGAGACAAGGAGCTCCCATGCAGGTGTCCATTTTGCTCACACCTGAACTGAGGCAAGAGGAATCCCACCTCCTGTGGCTTTGTGGTGTGCATGGGAGGGAGCTGAGCCTCCTTCAAATGCCATGAGTAGAAACGCAGGATGAGATGCCTCCATTGACCCATGGATCCCTTCCCTCAGCAGGGGTAAAGGAGATCCCTGCCTGCCTCTCTCTGGGTATCCTGTCTAAGAATAAACCAAAAAATGTGGCATGTAGATGTAACTTTGTCTCTGAGAGGAGAATTTTATTTCAGGAAAGAAGTGTTTCTCCTTAACTGAGAGAGGCAACACCAGTGTTTGCTTCAGCCTGTTTCCCAGCAGGTTCCCTTGGAGCCCCAGGGACACCTGGAGGGAGCCCAGAGGGAGCAGAGAAAGTGCTGCCTTGGGCTGGTCCTCTGCTGCTGAGCTGGGCTGGGCTCCTGGGCTGGAGGGAGCTCATGGCAAGCAGGCAGCACTGCAGAGAGACAGCTCTGCCCAGGAGCAGCTCCTCTGCAAAGCGCAGCAGGGCTGAGGGCACTGCCTGCAGGCACCGAGAGCAGACAAGAGAAGTGACAGAGAGGTTGAAGGCAGTCTGAGGTGGGAGGACAGGTGAGAGCTCACTGTGGGAGAAATCTTCACAGCCCTTGACAGGGTAAGTCTCAGGCTGCAGGGCAATGCCGATGAGTTCTTGGAAGTGTCTCCTAGACATGGCACGTGCCAGGGCTGATGGGACCTGTCAGGATGGGTCTCCTTGCTTTTCTCTGGTGTGGAGGAGGAGGACATGCTCCAGAGCAGGGCTTCCCTGCTTCACCCTCAGAGGGACATTGCAAGACAGCTTCCTTCTGCCAGCAATGGCTACAGCGATGTGAAGGTGGGTGTGCACCCAGGGGTGCCCATGGCTGTCCTTCCAAGCAGGTGCCCTGCAGCCCAGGGTGATGTGTGCTGGGGCAGGGACTCTGCTGTCTGCCAGTGTCAGCTCTCAGCCTGCCCAGGGAGCTCCCCATGACCATGCAGGGAGAAGCTGTGGGTGGAAGGCATGACCCCCAGCAGGCTAGGGCAGAGCAGGGCACAGTCCTTCTGCTCTCAAGAAAGTGTTGCATGGGTCAGGGCTTCTCACAGCTTCAGCTCTACCTCATGACATTGTTAAGGGAGGGGGTTTCTCAAGAAGCACATCAGCTCAGCAACAACTTCCCCTATCCAGCCATATCAGGTTCTCTGTGATCTGGTCTTTAGCCCCTGCACAAGCAGAGATGCCCCTGGGCAGTACCCTGCCCCTGCGAGGTGTTTGCAGGCAGAGGTGAACACACCGCAAGTGGGATGGGGTTTGTGAGCACTGACAGGGAGTTGTGCTGGCGACAGGGCTCCTGGCAGAACAGCCTCAAGCAGCAGAGACACAGGCAGGCAGTGAGAGGGAGCTGCTGCCAGAAACGCTGGGGAGGTGGATGTGGGCACCTCCCTGCCGTCCCAGGGGCGCAGACACCTTCCCCTGTGCAACTCCTCCCTGGTCTCCTTTCCCAGCCTAAGCAGAGCCTCTGCCCTCCAACTCCTGAGGTCTGAGGCATGCATTGCCCCTGCAGCAGCCAGAGCCCAGAAAAGGACAAATCCCTCTGTCTATCTTTGTGTGTCCCTCCTCCCTTGGCAGGAGATTGTGGCCTTCCACTGTCATCCGCTCCTGCCTGTGCTGCCCTGGTTCTCACTGTTGGATTTGCTGAGTCAGTGTGGAAGGTGGGGGTCGGGGTGGCAGGTTCCTCTCCTGTTCAGAAGCCGACCCTTTGGGTCCTGCTTTGCAGACGTGTCTATGGTAGCAAAGTGCCCAAGTCTCCGGGCAGCTTCAGGACATTCAGCTATTTCCTTGGGGTGTCCTGCTGCGCTGCAGGGTGCCCTCCAGAAGGGCACAGCTCTCCCATAGTATCCCATAATGCTAGGATCCCCATGGAGAAGACACCTCGGTGCTAAGGCTGTGGAAATGCTGCTGGGCAGCTGTATGTGGGCAGCTGCAATGGTCCCTCTGTGTCCCAGTCTGAGAGGGGAGAGATGAGGTCCTCCTCAAGTACCCTGAGAAAAGCCAAGGAGTCTGGCATCTGCTCTTTGAACCTGGGTTCCTCTGCTCTCAGCAGCATCCAGTTTCTTTTTAGGGGAACACCTGAGTGGGACCCTCCTCCAGCTCCAGGCTGCCAGCACAGGGCAGCTGAGACCCGGACTGATAGGCAGAGCAGCTCTCCTCACTCTGCACTAGGGGACTGTCCCTTTGCCTCTCAGGATCCACAAGATTTCACTCGGAGTGCATTAGAAATGTCAGGGATTTCAGTCATCCAAAGCCACTCCTAAATGTGGCAAGTGCAACTAGAACGAAATGAACAAAACAGAATCCCCTCAGCTCTGTTCTGCAGTTGGGCAATTTGAGAACTGCAATGCTGAAAAGCTCTTTGATACATCATGAGTGCATTCAGTTTGAGATCAGCCTGTGTTCCTAGTTCCCTCTCACTGCAGAGAAAGAAGGGCTGCTCAAGAGCCCACTACAGAGTCCCTGCTCCCCATTGCCCCCTCAGCCAGCAAAACCCGGAGCTCAAGTAAGGGAGCTGCAGAGAATTCTTCCTAAAATGAGGGAGTCTGAATGTGGGGTTGCAATGAGACATGCAATATGTTTTGCTCAGAGAAGTCTGGCCTAACTCACTAGTGCATTTTGCTCCTCAACAGGTAACAATGTGCGGAGGAAGCAAATGTCCAACCACAGCTCCATCACTGAGTTCCTCCTCCTGGCATTTGCAGACACACGGGAGCTGCAGCTCTTGCACTTCTGGCTCTTCCTGGGCATCTACCTGGCTGCCCTCCTGGCCAACGGCCTCATCATCACCACCATAGCCTGTGACCACCGCCTCCACACACCCATGTACTTCTTCCTCCTCAACCTCTCCCTCCTTGACCTGGGCTCCATCTCCACCACTGTCCCCAAAGCCATGGCCAACTCCCTCTGGGACACCAGGGCCATTTCCTTCTTGGGATGTGCTGCCCAGGTCTTCTTTGTATTCTTCTTGTTTGGTGCAGAGTACTCTCTCCTCACTGTCATGGCCTATGACCGCTACGTTGCCATCTGCAAACCCCTGCACTACGGGACCCTCCTGGGCAGCAGAGCTTGTGTCCACATGGCAGCAGCTGCCTGGGGCAGTGGGTTTCTCAGTGCTGTGCTGCACACTGCCAATACATTTTCACTACCCCTCTGCCAAGGCAATGCTGTGGACCAGTTCTTCTGTGAAATCCCCCAGATCCTCAAGCTCGCCTGCTCAGATGCCTACCTCAGGGAAGTTGGGGTACTTGTATTTGCTGTCTGTTTAGCTGTTGGATGTTTTGTTTTCATTGTGCTGTCCTATGTGCAGATCTTCAGGGCTGTGCTGAGGATCCCCTCTGAGCAGGGAAGGCACAAAGCCTTTTCCACCAGCGTCCCTCACCTCGTCGTGGTCTCCTTGTTTGTAAGCACTGCCACGTTTGCCTACCTGAAGCCCCCCTCCATCTCCTCCCCATCCCTGGATCTGGTGGTGGCAGTTCTGTACTCAGTGGTGCCTCCAGCAGTGAATCCCTTCCTCTACAGCATTAGGAACCAGGATCTCCAAGATGCACTGAAGAAGCTGATTCAATCAGTAATCTTTCAGAAGCAATAAGCTGCCTGTGTCTCTTCACAAGTGATTTCCAATGTATCTGGGGAACCTCCTGTGCTTTGGGTATTTTATCTGTGATAATCATAGTTGCCCAGTGATGTCTGCATCTGCTCCACTTGCCCAGAGGCAGGAATCCAGCCTGTCTGACCCAGAAGTCTTTGCACATGTGTCTGGCACGATGGCACAGCTGGCCTCCCCTGTCACGTCTCTGTAACAAAAGGGGATTTTCTTAGTTCTGGTGTCTGGAGCTTGGTCTCTTCTTCCAAAAGCTGAGGTCAGGAACAGGCTGAAGAAATTGCCCCCCTACAAGTCTGTGCTGCTGTGCTGGGGTTCTCTGTGGGCAGAGGGGAGATGGGCATAGGGTGATGATTTAGAGAGTGAGACTGGAGTGAGCTTTCACTGGTGGCCTTGCTAATTGGCCACTTCCAGCACTGGCAACTCAGCACAGGTTTATGGGTGAGTTTTGGTGCACAGCCATTTCCCTCCTCCTGTTGGGCTCACTGCCTGCACTGGGGGAATGGCCAGCCCTGCTCAGCCTCTCTCCTTCTGCAGACCGTGACAGACCCCCGAGCACAGTTGTTGGCAAAACCCCACATGGGATGTGGATAGGGCTGGAGAGGTTCCAGGACCTGGAAGAGGCTATCTCAAGGAAGAGGAACAGAAGGGGGACAGGGCACAAAGGGATATCATGGGGCTCATGCAAGAGAAACTGTTCCTCACACCGAATACACCCTTTGCCATGCTGTGCCTGCACAGTGGGGCTGTGGGAGCACGTGTGAGGCAGCGGGGCTGGCCCAACACAGGACAGGACACTGACAGGGGCCACGGAGCAGCTGCCAGGGGATGACCACCTGGAGTTGGCGGCTGCAAGAAAAGTCAAGAGCAAAGGCAAGAGCTTCAGTTGCTGTGTTAGAGATCAAGGCTGGGCAAGGAAAATGCAGGGCTGCTTCTGAAAGAGCATGGTGATCTAATAAACAGCAGGCACTAATGGGCCTGAGGGACTCAATACCGCCTTTGCCTGAGTCTTTACTGAAAAGGTCTCCCAGGCCTCTCTGCTCAGGGAAGGGGGTTCAAGGAGGAGGAGAGCACGTATTGGCAGGAACCTCATTGTTATATACCGACAGAGCCAATTTTTATATTTATTGAGAATAGCAAGCAAGCAGCGCTGGGCGGCCGGGGAGTCCACGCTCTACCAATGGCTCGCAACTTTATGTTATAGTTACATTTCTTATATAGAGTTCATGCACCCCTTTCTTGTAAGTCTCTGCCTTGTCCTGCTTCCTCTTTCTTCACTCGTGCAGGTTTGTTACTAGGCAGATTCGGTCCATCTTCTCAAGGATGAGTGTCTTTTGATGTAGAATGTCTTTTGATGTGGAGAAGTACAGTCTTGGCAGAATTAATCCCCTTATCTGGTAAATTGTAGCTGTTGTCTTTTCCCTCCTTATCTAGTAAGTTATAGCTGTTGTTCTTTACCCTCCTTAGCTAGTAAGTTATAGCCATTGCCCTTTTCCCGTGACCTTTACGCACTATTGAAGCAAGCCTTGTTATTTACACAAGGCATCTGCTAAATTTCAATATGTCTCTTCCCCCTTCCCGATTGGTATGTAAGCCTTATTGTCTTCTTTTAATTCAACACGAATTACACAATGTCAGGGAACAATTTGGTTCCCTGTCGATTCCACTCATGAAATCCCACAAGGACAAATGGCAGTTTCTGCCCCTGCAGGAGACTCACCCTGGCAATGGCACAGGCTGCGGATGCCTGTCTGGGAGCAGCCCTGTGGGAAAGGTCTTGGTGGGCAGGGAGCTGGACAGGAGGCAGCCGTCTACCCTGGCAGCAAGGGAAGCCACCAGCATCCTGGGCTGTATGACCAGGAGCACAACCAGGAGGTCAAGGGAAAGGAATTCTCTGGAATACTCCATCCAGCTTTCAGATCCCCAGTTCAGGAATGATACTGGCAAGCTGGGGTGGGTTTAGCAAAGGGCCCTCAGGACAGCCAGGGGCTGGAGCGCTTTGCCTGTGAGGAGAAGCTGAGGGATCTGAGGCTAATTTGGCCCAAGATCCCCTCCTGACAGTGAGGTACGGATCAATCCAAGCAAGATTCAATTACTTTAACCTGCAGTGCTGTCCAAAAGGGCCTTGCACAGACATGGAAGAGGCTGAGGATCTCATGGCCTCACTTCCTTACTCCTTTCCTGGTAAGATCTTCCCCCAAGTCTCCCTGGTCCTTGAGACTCCTAGCAACCTCTGTGGTAGCAAAGCTTCACCCATGGGAGAGCAAGATGCAGCTGGGGAACACTAGTGCCAGTTGGACACAGGCAAGTGCATGGGTCCAGAGGGGATGCACCCAAGGGTGCTGGGGAAAATGGCTGGTGTCATTGCAAGGCTGCTGTCCTTTGTCTTTGAAATGTCACGGCAACTGCAGGGAACATAATGATCATTGTTAGAAAGTCCAGCCGGTGGCCAGTTTCTAGAGGTATCCCTCAGAGAGAAGTGCTTGGGGTAATGTTGTCTGACATCTTAAGTGATGGCCTGGACAATAGGACAGAGTTCACTCTCAGCATGTTTGTGGATGAGACATAACTGAGGGGAGCCCTTCATTGAGTAGGGTCAGGGAGGGGAACTAGGTGATGCCCAGAAATATCTCCCACATTTAATTACTCAATAAATGTTTACCTGGAGTTCTCTGGAGTTCTCTGTAAAGACAAAATAAGGAGAGGCTGAAGAAGAGATGGGAAATACGTCAATATAGATATAGTATTTTTTCAGAACAAAATTTTTCCACTCAGCAGTGGTAGTAAAAGCATTTTGATGAACAACTCCATCTTAATATGTTGGCAGATGGAAATTACTGTAGTGGACTCATGTGGTCCTTCCAAATGAAAAAATAAAAAGAAAAAAATAATTATAAGAACTAAGCCAAAATATCTGACACTCTGAAAATGAAGATTGGTTTCAGTTCTTGCCTAGAATAACGTTTCAGTAGGTTTCAGCTCAAGACTGAAAGACCTACGTTCAGGTCTGGATTCATTTGTCCACGTACAGAGACTGTTGCTGTCTGAGCTGCCCCAGGGTTACAGATGTACCTATAAGGTACTTGGAAATGTGACCCAGGGCGCCCTTCTGGAGCATTTAGCTGGTCACCAGGAAATCTCCAGGCTTCTTGGTGGAGACAATCTCTCCATTTATTCCAAAGGGAAGTCTAGACAACTCCATTAGATGTAGACATCTGCGCTTAGGTTTCTTTTGTTGGGTAAGGGCAATCTTGTCCTTTTCTTCACCTAAAAGACAGGGACAATTCATGTGCCCCGGAGGGAATGTGAAGGGAGTGTGTCTTGCTGATTTAGGGAGTCCTTCCAGAAGCACTGGTAACACAAAGATGCTGGCCACGCAGAAACAGAGCGTTTCACTGAAGATGGCCATCCATCTTCTCTGTAACAGTTGAGAGAGCTGAATACCTCAGAGTGTGACTGGCTGTGTGAAAGGGTGAGCAGTGGCAAGGACAGTCCTGGGCAGGGAGTGTGTTAGGGCACTGAACTCCATGTGAGACACAAACCTATTGTATTTAATGTTATAGGCCTGATTCTGATAGAAAGGTGCAGAAAATGTCAAAAAATAACATGAAGCAACAAAGAAATTAAGGAAACAATTTAAAGGGAAGGAAATGTTTTACTTGTGTGGCAGGGTGACCCTGGCTGGATGCCAGGTGCCCCCCAAGCTGCTCTATCCCTCCCCCTCCTCAGCTGAATGGAGAGAGAAAAATATGACAAGAAGCTCGTGAGTCAAGAAAAGGAGAGGGAGATCGCTCAGCAATTACCTTCACAGGCAAAACAAGCTTGACTGGAGGAAATCAGTTTAATTTATTACCAATCAAATCAGAGTAGGGTAACAAGGAATAAAACCAAATCTTAAAACACCTTCCCCCCACCCCTCTCTTCCCGGGCTCAAATTCACTCCCAAATTCTTCACCTCCTCCCTCCAAACATCACAGGGGGATGGAGAATGGGGGTTGCGGTCAGTTCATCACACGTTGTCTCTGCCGCTCCTTCCTCCTCACACTCTTCCTCTGCTCCAGCGTGGAGTCCCTCCCACAGGAGACAGTTCTCCATGAACTTCTCCATCATGGGTCTTTTCCAGAAGGTGCAGTCCTTCAGGAACAGGACGCTCCAATGTGGCTGTAGCACGGGGTCATAAGTCCTCCTAGCAAATGTGCTCCAGTGTGGCCTCCTCTCCCCACAGGACCTGCCAGGAGCCTGCTCCTGTGCAGGCTTCCCACGGGGGTTGCAGCCTTCTTTGGGTACATCCTGCTGCTCCTGCGTGGGGTCCTCCATGGGCTGCAGGTGGATATCTGCTCCACCGTTAACCTCCATGGGCTGCAGGGGGAAAACCTGGCATTCCTCAGGGGTCAGTTTTGGGAATGGCACTGTTTAACATCTTCATCAGTGACATAGACAGTGGGACCAAGGGCACCCTTAGCAAGTTTGCCAATGACACCAAGCTGTGTGGTGC